ATGGACTATAATTTTCGATCTAGTGACTAAAACATTTTTTTGTATTAAGATATACTGAAGTAGATTCTATTGATTGCTGAGTTGTATAATTTTCTTATAGCCACATCTTATATAGCACGTTGGCTAAGATCAACATATCTTCCATTAAGAATGGATATTAACTACATTTAATTAGTTTTATATTATAGTTTTTAACCAGCTATATATTTTAGATTATCAAGTTGGAATTTGTTCATGTGATAGTTTATACATGTCAATTTAGGTGACCATATTTGAACATTAAAATTTACAAATATTACATTGAAAAACATGAACCTGTGTGAACCTGCCGGCGGGCCATGAACCTGCAGTGTTTCTAGGTGAACTTTTGTTGTCGGAGTTTCCACTTGTTGAGTAATAGTAGTCAGTATTTTTCGTCCCGGTTGGTCGAAGAAAATAATTCATTAGTCATGAAATGTAAGTGTTCTTCTTTTTTTTATTTCACTGATTCTAACTCGAACTTAGATTAGACTTTGGTGTATAGCATATGCTGAACGGTTTCATTATTTATGTACAACTTTTCTTTTGAAAAATGTTGGCTTCGCAATGAATAAAAAGATGAAATATACAGAGTTACACCCACGTATACACATAAGAATATCTTTCATCACAATAATATACTTTTTTTTTGTTTCCTTTTTATTTTCTTTGTTAAAGAGCCCTTTTTGTTTCACGTGCATTAATTTCTAGTTAGAAGTTTTTTTTTGTGAAATTACATTATATATTTGAAAAATTTTATAGTTTTTTTTAGGCCAAAAAAAATCTCGAATCTCTCTAGTTCAAAGTTCCTCTCTTTTAGCGGCTTTGGCCACCGCTATAACTCAGCTAAATTAGGCATAGCCCCACTTATTTAGTAGAAACGATAGCTAAAGTTCAGCTGTTTAAAAAAAAGGGTTCAGCTGTTTTTATGACCCAAAAAAAAAGGTTGAGCTGTTTCCTTTACGATCCATTTGGAAATTCGATCATTAGACATTAATGACGCATACATCGACAATGGATTGCGTGTGAATTATTTATTATGATAAGAAACTCGTTTAGGCCTAGAGCTTAATTCTCTTTAAAATGATTTCCTCAATTTGTTTGTATTAAATTATCCCCTTTAGCATATTGGATGATATCATCATTCACTTCAGAGAAATTTAACTTGACGATTTAGAGTGGAACAACCATTCTCTTGGAATAACATTTGATGAAAGTAAGTGTGTGGGGTTTAAGACCTTTATGTTAAATGTACATTTTAAAGCGCTTTCAATTAATAAAAACTATATTACAACTCTTTTTTCTATGTTTATTATATTAGTTCCCCTTGGATAAGTCTATTTCATGCCAAAGTCATTATAGAAGTGCTCACTTAGGGTTGGTTATACAATATTTTTATAGAAAATTTTGGTGGAAGCAAGTGGAAATTCGGACCATAGATTAAAAAGAGGACATTGACAACTCTAACTCTTCTCTATATAGGTGTATAAATTAAAGGACCACTTCATCCTCTAAACCCTCTATCCAAAGTCAAAGGTCCATTTTTTCTTAAAGTTGTTTTATGCGAAGCCCCTTTACTTTAATTTCTTTTTAGGTAGTTTTGTATCGATTGTTGAGTTTAGGGGCCGATCAATGTTGATTAACATGTATATATATATTATGGATCTTTTTTTGGTCTATCATAAAATCGATCTAGACCGACCACAGCTCAATGAATAGATTTTAATCTGGATTTTAAGATCATCAAACCGAAAATAATTTTACATCCCGGAATCAAATTTGTATTCCAAATAAAATCTAAAAAACAAGATAATTGAATAACATACCTACTAGTTAGAAGCAAAAATTATATCTTATCTATATGAAAATAAAATAAAAAATAATATATCATTCCAATTTCTATGAATTGGAATGGGAACATAATAACAAATTATACCAAACCAGAGTTTCTAAAGTACAAACTATTTTCGGTAAAAATAAAACAAAATAGAAACCATACTTTAAAGAAATGGAGAATGGCAATTGATTTATCATGTTATAAATATATATACTTTTATAAAACATGTTACAACGATGAAATGGATAAAGATGTTAAAGTTTTTTTTTTTTTTTTTTTTTTTTTTTTTTTTTTTGATAAACCCTATCGGCTGATCCGGTCGGCCTCGGTAGGAACGCACCGAAGTGTTACAGAGTGGACTTCTCCCGATCCAGATAGAATTGGGCCACCACACTGCCTGATCCGAGTTTGGAATGCCTTCCGACTAATGCCAGGGGGTAGTCAGGCCGCCTGCATTTCTGACTACCAGGTAAACCAATTGGGCCAAGGCCCAACTGACAGACTTCCCAAACAAATGTGTTTTTGTTTCCAGGGAGAATCGAACTCGGGTCTGAGAGTTTCACCCTTCACCAAAGCTTCCGCTGCCACTAGACCACAGAGGCTTGGGCAAAGATGTTAAAGTTGTGAAAGACGACATAGTAAATAAGTTTAAGATGAAGGTATGAGATCAAGAAATTATCGAACAGCTTAATAAAATAAAATAAAATACATTTTAAATTCAAAAACAAATGACAGTGATATGTAGATGTAACAAAACAACCACCAACGTACCAATCAAACCTTGCTAATTCGGAATTTCTTATTCTGATAAGCAATCTTGGTACTCCACAAACCGAAATATATACAATGAAAACCACTCTACTTAATTAGTTTCTACCATAACAATAAAAAGAGATTGTTGTGTACGTTTCTATCAGTTTCTGTAAGAATTTCACATTTGATCATATGTTGATAAGATTATATGTATTAGACGTCCACGAAATCTTTACTCTACTTATGTTAATAATCTCTCGACTGCAAGCAAAATATATATAAGGCAAATTAAAATAAAGTGACGAATTGATAAGGATGGATAAATAGAGACATTGATCTGTTTCTAGAAGAATAAAGAACCTGAAAAGATATAATAATCAAATGAGGAAAAGAATCTAGACAGCAGAGATACAAAGACATTCATAAATAATGCTACATACAATGTAAAACGTAACTGCCCATTTCTTTTATTTTTTATTAAAGATTGACCACGACGTGTATATATGTATATAGATGTATATAATATAAGGAAAACATACTAATTCATTCACTACTTGATGTTAAAGGTTCACTACTTGATTAACGTACGTGCAAGACTTTCAAAATCTATACAATACAAAATTTTACCCTAAATTAAGAGCATTGTGACATTTGAGAATTCTTTGGTATGACTGAAAATCAATATATATATATATATATATTCAGCAATTGAAGAGTTTTTTTGGGTTTATTTTCAAAATTAAATTAAGTGATCCGCAACTCGCATTTTTGAGGTTTTGAACGTAGTTTAATTTATTTATCTCCTTACTAGACTCTTTTTTGTTTAGTAAAAGCTTAATACAACTGTTCTATAACAACTGTTTTTTTTTTTTTTTTTTTTTTTTTTAAACTCATACCTTGCATATAACTCAACGAAACTGATACAGGGAGGCCATCAAGGCAAACGAAACCTACAAAAGAAAGCTGTAGATTACAAATCTGCTACTGAAAAATACCAAACCAAGTGGCTAACAAAGAAACAGCAGGGGGAATGACACGCTGAGCTCTTGAGAGCGGGTCGAGATGGGATCGAATAATGTTCTTAATCTCGAGAATGAGAGCAGACGATGGTTTGGAGGAGGCGCTGTGAAGTCTTGAATTTCTCTCTTTCCAGATGTAATACATTGAGGCTTGAAAGGCTAGTCGAAGAATCAGAGCCGTATTCTTGTCACGGCAAGGATTCTTAAGCCATCTAACTCCATCATCAAACAAGTTTGGAGGAGAAACATGGGCCTTACCCGAGAAAAAGTGCCACACATCCGCTGCATAAGAACAGTCAAAGAACAAATGCTGGCGAGATTCATCAAATGAGTTACAAAGAAGACAAGTAGGAGGGATATTCAATGATGCATGTACCAATAATTATGTAATTTGTTAATGATGCATGTACCAATAATTAAATGAAACAAAATTTCGGTGAAATGAAATACAATTTCTTGGCAACAACTAAATATGTTAGGTAACAAAATTCACGACTATACTGGAAAAACTGATTAAAGAGTGTTTAAAGATTAAAAACACCAATAAATGAATGTCATCTAATCTAAACTTATTCACGTTTGTCTCAGAAATTAACAATGAAACCACACATTCTTAACTATTTTAAATATCTATACAATTTTTTGAACATCTAAAAAGAAGAGGCGAATAAATTGTTTAGTCAAGTACTCAAACTCAACACTGATTTTCAACTTGTAATCGTGTCTGAGAACGTCGCTGTTTTTATGGTAATCGTATATGGTCACATGTCAATTATATGATATCACACAATTAATTTAAAATACATGCAAAATCAACCTCTATTTATTTACGATTTAGTCACAGCATTAGTTTTGCAAATAATAAGTCTTCTAAAAAGATTATCCACGTGTTTTTTTAAATCAGATTATACCTAAGTGACCATATATATTTTTCATTAAGAAAAAAATTATACCATAGAGAATATATATTATTATTTACTTATTTAGCCTTTATTGTGAAATTTAGCCCAAAAACTAAAAAAATGTCAACCAAACAAAGAAATTATTTAAAAAGCGTCATCAGATATCTGTTGAAATTCGCTTGAATTCATGAAACGGTCAAGCCCATCGTTACCATTCAAACTAAACTATGATAGTGTAACGGAAACATATTTATATTATACTATACATGCTTATTTTCCATAAACAAATCATACAATTAACCATTAATTACCATTCAATATGAACCACTCAAGTCTTTTAAAATTTACCATTGATTACCAACCACACAAAAATAATATATATATATATATATGCATGCAATGTGTATATGTATATCAGTATATGTATGTGTGCCTTGAGTATAAATACGAAGTCTCTCATCTAAGTTATAACTTCTAAGTCCAATACCAAAATATTTCCTTTGTTTTTCTCTCTTTTAACTACAACTTCCAATAAGAGAGAGGATCGGAGATAGAACACTAATGGAGTCCCCAAGCCTACCGATGACGGCAAAAGACTGGACCACCACCAGTCTCCACCGTGTATTCGCTATGCAAGGCGGCGAAGATGACCTCAGCTACGTCAACAATTCCGATAGCCAAGCTTTGGCTATAACCTTAAGCAAACCAATCCTTATCTCAACTCTCGAATCCATCAAACTCTTCTCCGACCAAACTTCTCCCATCAGAATCACCGACCTCGGCTGCGCCACCGGCTCCAACACGTTTACAACAGTTGATACGGTGGTTGAGACGTTACAACGGCGATACACGGCGGTGTACGGTGGTGGTGGCTCGCCGGAGTTTGAGGCTTTCTTTTGTGATTTGCCTTCTAATGACTTCAACATGTTGTTCAAGTTGTTGGCTCAAAAACAGAAAGTTGATTCGCCCGCGAAATACTTCGCCGGGGGCGTTGCTGGTTCGTTCTATGACAGGCTTTTTCCGAGAGTAACGATTCATGTCGCTGTTAGCTTAAGTGCCTTGCACTGGCTCTCTCAGGTCTAATACACTAATCATTTTTCTATATTTTAATGTTTTTTTTTGTAACTGTATAATGTTATTTAATTTTATTTAAGGTAATTACTAATTTACTATTCTTTTTTTGGTTATATATAAGAAGGAATTAGAATCCGTATATACATTATTCACCATTTAAAATAATCAACGACGTCAATTTAACATTATAGATATTATTGTTTTAGCATTCTACTAGTGTTAGAAACTCAACATTTTCTTGATTAATTATTGTAAGGTTTTTATTTTATTTTATTAAGGTAGTTATTATACTTTTTTAGTTGTCGGAAAGATAATTCGTGTACTGGATATACGTTACGACTATAACTTTAAATTTGTTACGTCAGTTCTCCCAATGAAGATCATTGTGCATCACCCAAATTCATCAACAAAAGCAATTTGACAAAATAATTTTTTTTGTTCTATCAGTCTCAAAACAAGAACATATATAACAGTACCACATATCAAAAACCGATTCTAAAATATGTGCATTGAAAAATATATGTAGATACCGGAGAAAGTATTGGAGAAAGGATCAAGAACGTGGAACAAAGGGAAAACGTGGATAGAAGGAGCAAAGAAAGAAGTAGTGGAAGCATACGCAGAGCAATCAGACAAAGATTTGGATGATTTCATGAGCTGTCGGAAAGAAGAAATGGTGAAAGGAGGAGTGTTGTTTGTGTTGATGGCTGGTCGTCCTTCTGGCTCAAGTAGTCAATTTGGGGACCAAGATACTCGAGCCAAACATCCTTTCACAACTACCATGGAACAAGCTTGGCAAGATTTAATAGATGAGGTAAATCTACATATATGCATATTACAAACACGTGTATCTTTCATGATTACATTACATAACCGTTTCATGATGTTGTCATGTCACTATATATCACAACTACCATGAAAATAAGCTTTTTTCTTTTTACTTGTTTTTCGCTAAAACACTACTTTAACATTTCATGTTTAAAAAAAAAAAAAAAGAATTTCATATCACAATCCATATCTTTTAAGAATAAAAATTGTCAACGTGTTTTTCATTTAATTTTTCATAAATTAGCTAAAATATTTTTTTTGGCAAATACCACTCATCATATGAAACGTTTTATATATGTTCCTTTGGACAAAAGGGTTTGATAGATGAAGAGACAAGAGACGGTTTCAACATTCCGGCGTACATGAGAAGTCCGGAGGAAGTGGAGGCCGGAATTGACCGTTGCGGTGGTTTCAAGATAGAGAAAATGGAATTTATGAAAATAGTTGAATATTCAGATGAGAAACAAGAAGAATGGAAGAAAGATCCGGTTTCTTACGGACGAGCCAGGACCAATTTGGTTCAAGCTGCTATTCGTCCTATGGTTGATGCTTATCTTGGACCAGAACTATCCCATGAGCTCTTCAAAAGATATGAAAATCGTGTTTCTACAAACCAAGAATTTCTCCATATAACTTGTTTTTATGGAGTAGTCGTGTTTTCCGCCATCCGAATTTGATGATCATATATAGTTATAGCTATAGATATGAACGGAAACATAAGGTGTGTTTTGTTAGTTTCCATCTATGATTTATGGTAGTTTCATCAGATTAATTATATATTTATGTGTTGTTTAAATTTCTGAAGTACATGTACATAAGCTTGTAAGGTTGCAAAAAAAAAAAACATATTTATAACTTTATAGGTATTACACTGTTACTGTTTTCTATAGTGAATAAACCTAACTAAGTGAAAATGTAATCGAACAAATTAATAAATTGGAACAACTTGTTCCAATGATAATTGATAAGAGAATGATACAGAGAGTCAATGCCTTGAGCTTAAGCTCTGGTCTAAACTGGTTTGTTACCTCTCTGAAAATCCATGGAACCAACCTCAAAACATTAAAGCAATCTCATTGTTTCATGATCATAACCGGTTTAAACAGAGACAATCTCAACGTTGCCAAATTCATCGAAGCATGTTCAAATGCAGGACATCTCCGATATGCTTACTCTGTATTTACCCATCAGCCATTACCCAGTACTTATCTCCACAACACCATGATTAGAGCTTTGTCTCTCGTCGACGAACCCAATGCGCACTCGATTGCGATCACGGTTTATAGAAAGTTATGGGCTTTGTGTTCTAAGCCTGACACGTTTACTTTCCCGTTTGTGTTGAAGATTGTTGTTCGGGTTTCTGATGTTTGGTTTGGGAGACAGGTTCATGGGCAAGCGGTGGTTTTTGGGTTTGATTCGAATGTTCATGTTGTGACAGGTTTGATTCAGATGTATACGTCTTGTAGGGTTTTGAGAGATGCACGTAAGGTGTTCGACGAAATGCGTGTGAGGGATGTGAATGTTTGGAATGCGTTATTAGCAGGGTATGGTAAAGTGGGTGAGATGGATGAAGCTAGGGGTTTGCTGGAGATGATGCCTTGTTGGATACGGAATGCGGTTTCTTGGACTTGTGTGATCTCTGGATATGCGAAGAGTGGACGAGCTAGCGAAGCTATTGAAGTGTTTCAGAGAATGCTGATGGAGAATGTTGAGCCTGATGAAGTTACGCTTTTGGCTGTGCTCTCAGCTTGTGCTGATCTTGGTTCACTTGATTTGGGTGAAAGAATATGTAGCTACGTTGATTACCGAGGGATGAACAGAGCGGTTTCATTGAACAACGCGGTCATTGATATGTATGCAAAAGCAGGGAAAATAACAAAGGCTTTGGAGGTATTTGAGAGTGTTAATGAGAAGAATGTGGTTACTTGGACGACTATAATAACTGGGCTAGCTACGCACGGGCACGGAGCTGAAGCCCTAGCGATGTTTAACCGTATGGTTAAAGCTGGTGTGAAACCGAACGATGTTACTTTCATTGCTATCCTTTCAGCTTGCAGTCATGTCGGTTGGGTCGATCTTGGAAAACGGTTTTTTTAACTCAATGAGATCGAAGTACGGGATTAATCCAAACATTGAGCATTACGGATGCATGATTGATTTGCTAGGACGAGCAGGTAAACTCCGAGAAGCGGAAGAAGTTATTAAAAGCATGCCCTTTGAGTCTAATGCTGCAATATGGGGATCTCTTCTTGCTGCTTCAAATGTTCATCATGATATTGATGTTGGAGAAAGAGCTTTATATCAGCTGATTAAGCTAGAACCGAATAACAGCGGTAACTATATGCTTTTAGCTAATTTATACTCGAATTTAGGAAGGTGGGATGAGTCGAGGATGATGAGGAAGATGATGAAAGGGATTGGTGTGAAGAAACTGGCTGGTGAAAGCTCCATAGAAGTTGAAAACAGAGTATATAAATTCATCTCAGGGGATCTTTCGCATCCTCAAGTCGAAAAGATTCATGAACTTCTACAAGAGATGGATTTGCAGATACAAAGCAACAAAGTTTGAGAAAGAAAAGGATTTGAATTTTGATCAGATTGTGTTGCTTAAGGATTAACAATGGCTTCTTTTCTCTGAGACCTGAAACCAGAGGAGCGTAGAGTCAACACGGCTGACTCAGACAGCGGCTAAAGAGAAGCAGATGGTTAATTCCGGTTCCAGTCAAGAACAAAACAGGAATAGAAATTTGGAAAATCTGCTGAAGAAGAGAGAGGTCAGTTATGGCGCGTAGGCGTAGATGAATGGCCAAATCGAAGCCACTTTTTCTTCTGGAGGGTTTCGAGTTTAGGCTCAAGGCTTCAAGCTTCGGCCCAATTTTGGGCCTTTGGATTGCGACCTATTGTTGTATACTTGTGTTGTTTAGTCTAATTAATCCAATAAAATTAAGATGTTTATTTATACACTCATAAGGTTTAGATGAAGAAAAATAAATATTAACGATGAAAAAATGAATAATGTTTTAGCGACAGAGTGAATTAAAGTTATCGATCCGAAATGTACGGGTCATTTAAGGTAAGACGTGGGGTGGGTTTGTCCAAACTTGAGCATATTTAATATTTTAATGTCCTAAACCTCAAATTTAACTCTTAATTAAATTTAGTTTAAGACATTGAAATTCTCAAAACTCAGAAAAAGGTTAAAAAAATTTTGTCGGAGGAAAAATTGCTCAAGAAGGGGAGAGAGACGCGGAGCGCGGGAAACGACAAGTGGCCACGTGGCTATTAACGTGATTCGTTGTAGATTTGGTTTTTGTTCATGCTACTTTCCCGGCAAGAAATCATGAGCTTCCAAAATTTTAGGCATAGTTTTCTTTACAGATATTATGGAACAAAATTCAGATTTTATTTTCAAAATTAATATGATATTTTAAGTGGTCAATCACGAATAAAATTGCATCAAAAATATTCAAAATTTTGGTAATATAATTTTATGCGTATTTTTCTTATCAACAACATATAATATATGTGGGATTGAATTGAGTTATGACATAACACAAATACAAACAAAAACCAATATATATATTACTATATGTTTTGGTAGATTTTTTTATTAAATAGTTCTTGTATTGACTATTTCCAAACATCTACGTGCTAGAAAAAAACAAGAAAAATATCACAAATATTATTAACTCTCGATTCATTCAAGAAAATGATGCATGTGATACATTAAATCCAACAAAATTATCAGATCGTACAAAACGAGTTGATTCACTAAGATTATGTACGATACTCTACACTGCCTTTGTTTATTTTATCATCATCAAAGTCAGTATTATTAGTATATGAAAAATGAAATCATGCTTTTTTGGTTAATAAATGAAACGATATTGAAAACATGCATCCGTATAATATCAACGGTATGCAACTATTTATAGATAAAGTGATAAACATATGTATCTGATGCATCATACATGTTAGACTATTTTTATAGCGACCCATCGACGACTACATCTATTTGGTGACAATTACTAGTTTGCTATTATTTTTTTCCTTTTGTTATTTTCTTACGATGGAAATATTCACCGCATCAATCAGTACTACTACAGCTTCTGGTGACAATCACTAGTTTACGTTGTTTGCATTATTTAAAAAAAATAAACAAAATTATTCGAATGCATGTTTTTTTTTTGAATGCATGTATTGGTAAATAGAGTAAAATATTTTCAATTCAACAAGTAATAATGAAATTTTGCAGGTGATTTTCTTTCTTTTTTGAATAGCTAACCGATCAATGTTACATGCGTGTGTGAATAAAAGCAACTTTTTCTAGCCTCACTTTATCGAGACACAATTATAGAGAAACAAACGTAATGCATACAGATCACAAAAAAAAAAAGAAGATTATAGTTACAACCAATCAGAAAATGATGTTTATTAAGTTTCATCAGTTCTTTGGTTGTTGAATAAAAAAATTATCGTATATTTTCCTCTCTTTTTTTTGATAATATTATCGTGTCCTTTTAATATACATAGAATTGGATGTTGTCGTCAAGTTGTGATATTGAAGCTGTAAAGTATTGAACTTTTGATGATTTAAGCTGTAAAGGGAAGAACAGTCGAATGATTAGCTTGCTTCAATATATGTCCCCATATAATTAGTTTAGCATAGTTATACTGTGGGTAACGCTATCTTTTTGGTATATATCTTGACAAATAACATGAAGAATAATAAATTTGCAAAACAAAAAAGATTTCATTAGTATAACTTACTGTGGGAACCTTAAAATACTTACTACTAATAGTGAATTTTGAAATATGTAATGCTCATTATTTATCCATTAAATATTTAGTCCATTTCTATTACACTTTATCACTTTCAATATATACATTCTCTTAATGAATGAAGCATAATGATTCAAAGTCCATACGAAGAGTACATCTTCAGTATCGTTAGAATATAAAACATCAAATTAGTACTGTAATGCGTTTACTAACGAGTAAGTCTATTGATTATTTTAAGAAGTCTGCTTGTTCTAAAAACCCATATGTTATTTTAAAATTTTGAATTGATTAGACTAACGTGGGAAATAATTTAATTGTTAGTGAAGGATTAATCATAAGTACTGAGAGCAAATCTTAAGCTAGACGATTGTGTCACATGAACGACTGAACGTCAGTATATATAGATCCTGAAATTGAGGTGGTCAAAAATTTTCATGTGTATTTTTGTTTTGTACTGAAAAAAATATCATTTCCATTTGCACGGAACAGTCGCCGAAAGTCAGACTTTGATTCCATAATTTCCACTTTTTAGATTCTAAAATATAAGTTGTCAAAGAATATAACTGTGGGTTTGAATTGAATGGTAATAATAATATGACCCAGACGGACTAATATATTTGCAAACTGGACCATATTATTTTTGAAGTTGATAACAATTTGTTATGAACTTATATATATATATATATATAGTTATTTTTGGTGTATAACGATTGGTAAATGATTAAAAGACGGTTTGTTTTACAAAAAAAAATTGTTACAACCATTGGAAAAAATCTATAAACTTGAATGGTAATAGTTGGCGGCAAAAAATAATTTGTTTGAACTAAACCCGTTATATTCTTAAGACGAGTAATAATTTGGTGTATTAAGTTCTGTTCTTTATAAAATTAAACCATTTACAGATATAATCGTTTTTCTTTATTTTGTGGAGACCACAATGTTCGAAAAGAAACCAGAATTAGTTTTGTCTGTGAATGGATTTGTGCATATCGCCTGCTACCACTATTCAAAGTTTACGGTTCAATGTTTTTATAAACGAAAATAATGATTCTAACCAAGATTAATGATCCAAGAAAATAGTTAAAGTCTATATTTCTAGAGATTTATATTTACTGAATAATCATGTTTCTACATATCTAATTAAGTATTGTAAATTCATATAGTGGATGAAAGATTCGTGAATTAGAAATTCGATTTGAAAAATACCTCATCCAAATACAGAATCAAACGAAAGACGACTAAACCTAAAGAAACTTGATTTGGTCGGTGTTCCTTTGTACTTTCCTTTTTATCCTATTATGCTAATGCTTTGTTCTTACTTTCCTTTATTTTTTGTTTACTTTGGAAAAAGTAGTTGAATGTGTTGGAAAAAAGCATATGTTCTGTTCCTGCGGTTTTCTGTTAATGACTTTATAAGAAAATAGAAACAGCTACGCAACCCTTGTTTTTGAAGCAAGACATTAACTTCTTTTAGGATTTCGTCAACTTTTGCAATAAGCAAATTTATTCGAATATTTTATCTCGTTGATTATACATTGAACAATTTGGTTAGATGCAAACGTGATAGCGAAGAGGAATCTCGCAACATATACTGGCCAAGTGGCCATAATAATATAAGTATATTTGAGCATACTTCTTTAGGCTTCATCACTTCATGAACCCTAAACCATATGGTCAACTTACTGTTTTCTATTAGTCCATTACTGTTGTATATGAAACATTTACATAGCATTGGAAAAACAGAAATTAACTTTAATTTCGATCTATAACTCCCAGGTAAAAAAAAATTGTACTGTTTTCAATGTATCAATATATGTGGATTTTGGAATTATAAACATGGGAGGTCAAATAGTCAACTTAGCCCCATAATATGAGGTCTCCGTTTAGAAAGTAAAACCCTTTTTAAATAGCATAAAATAAAATTTCGTGAAGAAGATGGCACTCTCGATGCTGCTTGCTCGTTACCAAATTCGAGTTTATTAATGTCTTTAAAATTGTACTGTCCATATAAAAGGTACTATATAAAAATACTAGTGTAGACAGTTAGCTGATAAAAATAACTTGCAAGTGCTACATTAAAAAATCAGAACTATGAATACTGTAACATATAAATAAAATTATTTTCCTTTGCAGAAATTTCTATATATAATCATCCCATCTCCTCACAACTCACAACAACATTGAAACCCCTTTCCTCTCCCTTAACCTCACTTTTTTTTTGTGGGTCCTTTTTTTTTATTTCTCCAGGCCATTGTAAGCTCTAATCTTCCACACAATCTCTCTTCTTCCTCATTTTATTCCATACATACACACATATATCTCAGTTACCATTGAACTTATTATTATAGTTTTCTTGTGTAGGAAAAAAGGCAGAGAAAATGGAGATTTTTGGAAAAGTGATAATGTCATTGAGTCTTATGATGATGATGATGTGGAAGAGTGTGGATGGTTACAGTAGTGGTTGGGTTAATGCTCGAGCTACATTTTATGGAGGTGCTGATGCTTCTGGTACCATGGGTAATTTGCTTACTCTTCTCCCACGCTTATAGTATTATGATTTTCATTTTTTGACCAATACAACTTTAAACTTGAGATCTTCTAAGAATTTTAAAATTTATATTAAAGTGGCTGGTGACAATTAATATGCTACTTTACATGACCAAAAGTTATGTAATTTACCAATAAGAATCTTTAAAGATAAACACTTTCTATCATAAGTTTTAATATGCATTTACATAAGTCTGTGTTTTTTTGTGGGGATCAGGCGGCGCGTGTGGTTACGGGAACTTATACAGTCAAGGCTACGGAACGAACACGGCGGCTCTTAGCACGGCTCTATTCAACGGCGGCCAAAGCTGCGGTGCTTGTTTTCAGATAAAATGCGTAAACGACCCAAAATGGTGTCTCAGAGGAACAATCACAGTCACCGGAACAAACTTTTGTCCACCCAACTTTGCTCAAGCCAATAACGCCGGAGGTTGGTGTAATCCTCCTCAACATCACTTCGATTTGGCTCAGCCCATCTTCCTCCGCATCGCTCAATACAAAGCCGGCGTCGTCCCCGTCCAATACCGGAGGTACGTTTTCCCGATCTCGGTTTAGCTCGGTTTGGTAATTGGTACGTGTGGTTTGATTAATGCTCTGTTTTTTAAACAGAGTGGCTTGCCGGAGAAAAGGAGGAATAAGATTCACGATCAACGGTCATTCATACTTCAACCTCGTACTCATAACCAACGTCGCCGGCGCCGGAGATGTTGTCTCCGTCTCCATTAAAGGAACCAGAACAGGTTGGCAAAGCATGTCAAGAAACTGGGGACAGAATTGGCAAAGCAATGCAAATCTTGATGGTCAAGCTTTGTCCTTTAAAGTAACAACTAGTGATGGCCGAACAGTTGTCTCTAACAATGCTACTCCAAGTAACTGGAGCTTTGGACAGACTTATACCGGAAAACAGTTCCGGGCTCAGAGGTGATGATGACGTGGACTTGATGGAGGACAAAAAAAAATAAGTTTACTTATTATTTATACTGATTTTGGAGTTTTCTAGAGTTTGCATAGTTTGAAAAAAGTTTCAGGAGTTTATCTGATTAACCCTAATCAAAATAACCAATTTCTAAATGGCGGAAGAGTTTTTTTTTCTCACCGGCAGCTTTTGTAATTCGCCGGTGAGAGTGAGGTGTTTTCACCCGCCGCCTGAGTAATTGAGTTTTTTTTTGTCTTTGTACTTTTGTTTGGCTTTGAGATGTTCAATGGTCTGTTTCTTTAAGGCATTGTCTACTGAAATAATAATCAAGTTATTTATAATTTATAATGCTTTGCTTCTTCAGTTTGTAATTGTTGATGTTTCTGAATTTGGAAGTGACATTTTCTAGAGAGATAAGAAAACACAACATAAATATTTTTGAGATAATTCATTTTCAAAATTTAATGAAACTATACTTGTCTATTTCAATCCATTCGAAGACAAACCCTTAGTTTGATATATCAATATCGTTTTTTTCTTACAAAGTACATAAATTTTCTACAATCACTAAGTAAACTCCATACTTATTTTCTTTGTTTTTGCTCTAATGATTAATTAATGTTAATTTTTTATTTTATCTTTGACAGCTACGATCCTCTTGAAAACAGCTCCGGTGCCGCTTCACCCATGTCTTCCAACTACATTTTCAGTTCAAGTTTTGCCATAAAACTTCTCGCTTCAACATTTGCCTCCTTGTTGATCAAAGGATTTTTTTGTTAATTCACTTTTGATGTAACTTTACTATTCTTTAGTCTCTAACTCATCAGTCATCAATGATGCTAAACATGATCGAACATCTAACGCAAACCAGAATCCAACATTCATCGTACAAAAATCCACACAATCTAAGATTTTGGGTCAAAGGCCTTTTTTGTTTTTGTTTTTAACTTTTTATGGTTGAGTTAATTTGGGCTTCCTTGGTTCGATTAAATTGGGCTTTGGGTATCTCAAAGAAGAAAATAATCGGATTTGCTTATTCTTCTTTGAATTTCTTCTCGTCGTCTTAATTTGTTTGATTGGGAAGGAGCAAGTGATCTTCTTATGGCTAATTTGAGCGCTCGGTGAGTTTGGATTTTTCGTTTTTCGCCAATTTCTGTGTGCTGCAGTTTCCGTAAATCTTTAGGGTTTAAAACCCTGAATTTGTTATTTGACGATTTCTCTGGTAACCTGTGAAATTTCACCGCTTTAACACTTTTTTCAGGTTTCTGGGAAATTTGTAGAAGCTGAAAGGTTACAACTTTCAAAAAGGGTTAGCTCTTGATTATGGATAAGTCGTTACTTCCTACTGCTAAAGATGTTGTGACATTGAAACTAAGTAACGCGGTTCTTGTGGATGATGTTACTTTGTCATATCTCTTTTCCATCCCTCGAGAAATTGAGTCTCGAATCCATGAAGTACCCAGGGGGTGATGAATTTGTCAACAGGCTTATATCAAGTTGTCCAATTCTTGAAGAGTTGGTTGTGAAGCGTTGTTACAATGACAATGTTACCATTTTCAACATTGTAGTGCCTTCTCTAAAGAGTTTAGTCTTGCATGAATCATGGGATATATTTGTAGCCGCGGCTCATGGTTTTCTGATAGATGCTCCTTCTTTGGAGTTGTTAGACGTTTTCGATGATACCGGCGGGGTTCTCATCGTTACTAGCTCTTCTCTGAGTCGGATAATTTTACTCTCTTGTTGGTTGGGGTTTGGTCTGAATCTTAGATTATGTTATAACTAGCTCTTCTTAGTACTTGTATCCCATTTATCTCTGTGTCATACCCTTCGACCTTATGAACCGTATACTAGAAAGAACCTAATTCAATTCCTGTATAACAAGATTCTATAATTGGTCTACGAGTTGACAAAAAGAAAAATTGAATTATTTGATATTTCGTGTAAGGCTTATATTTTTAGGTTCGGTTGATTTTGGGCTTCCCTGGTTCGGTTCAATTAAGCCTTTTGTTTTCTTTTTCTCGTGTCTCACTCAATTCATCTTCGTCGTTAAAAATAAAGTTATCGGAATTAGGGTTTCAGGAATTTGACTTTGTCTGTGAATTTCTTCTGATTCTCTTCTTATTTGAGCGCTCGGTGAGTTTTGAATTTCGTTTTCGTTCTTTTCTTACCTCGCTAGGGTTTAGTTTAAATCTGCATTGCTTGCAACTAATTGTTTCATTGTAATTTGGATCCTGTAATTTTTAAATTTTTTTTTTTCCGTTTTGATAATTAATCGTGTGAAACACTTTTTCAGGATTATTCAGTGTTGGGAAAGGTTAGAAACAGCTTGGATTTTTGACGTAGGTAGACAACTTTGTGGAAGCTGAGAGCTTTGGACTTTCAAAAGAGGTGTTAGCTCTTAACCATGGAGATGATAAGTCAGTTGCCTGATGAGCTTCTCTTAAGAATATTGTCGAGACTTCCTACTACGAAAGATGTTGTGGCCACGATGGTTTTGTCTAAACGATGGAAGTTTCTTTGGATGTTTGTGCCAAGACTTGTATACGATGATAGCTATTGGCATGGAAGATCTTCACAGTTTGTAGACAGGTCTTTGATTTTTCACAAGGCTCCAATTCTAGAAACTTTGCGTTTCATCAATCTCGGTCGAGCCTATGGTTCTGGAGATCTTCATGTATGGATTAGAGCTGCAGATAAATGCTGCTGCGTGAGCTAATTATCCATGTTTCTTCAACATGTGAATATCCAGTCGTGCTTCCGAGGAGCTTGTTTAGTGAGGGATGTAGAAAGGTTGTGACCTTGAAACTAAGTAACGCGATCCTCCTGGATGTTTCTTCCCCAATTTCATTCCCATCCCTCAAAAATTTGAGCCTTACATCTATGAAGTACCCAGGTGATGAATTTGTCAAGAGGCTTTTATCAAGTTGTCCTGTTCTTGAAGACTTGATTGTGGAGCAGTCTCCTTATGACAATGTGACTATTTTCACCGTTAGAGTGCCTTCTCTAAAGCGTTTATCGATGTGTAAATTACCAAAAAGATATATAGATGATGCAGATGGTATGTCATAGATGCTCCTTCTTTGGAATCTATGGCGATTACTGTTCAAAGAGGTGGGCTTTGTGTCTTTGAGAATGACATGCCTAATATTGTCCAGGCATGTATTGACGTCAATTCTAGCCTTCCTCGGATGATTCTAAGTTTTGTTACGTCAGTCAAGCGTCTCGATTTATTATGTTTACCAACTGCAAAGGTATTTTCTTGTCAACCGCAAGTTGTTGTTTTTATCATTCTTCCTTTTTTTTTTTATGAGAATCACTAAGTGTACTCATCATGACGTTTCTTTTGCAGGATGCATATCCAGTTGGTAGTATCTTCCGATGTCTTGTACATTTAAAGATATGCACATGCGAGACAGAATGGTTAAATCTACTTATGCGTGTGCTTGAAGATTCACCTTATTTACGAGTCCTCAAACTTGGACAGGTATATATATATATATATGTACTATATATATTTCAACCCAATTCGTTTGAATGTCTTTTGAATAGTGTATTTTACTATTAATATCAGTCTATATGTTGATCTAATGTATAACTTCACTTCTATATTGTCAATTTATATCAGTACCATCGCCGTCGAGATAACCAACCACGCCCCTACTGGAGTGAACCGAGTTCTGTTCCTTTATGTATGGTATCGAGTCTTGAAACTGTCGAATGGGTTGACTATGAAGGAACGAAAGAAGAGAAAGAAGTGGCGGCATACATCTTAAGAAACGGAAGTTTTTTAGAGAAAGTAACTATTAAACCAAAATCCACCAGCCACTATGAGAAACTTGAGATGATCAAGGAGTTATCGCTTTCCCCTAGAACTTCGCCTACTTGCCGGCTTTACTTTGACTGAAGTTACAGGTTCAGCTCTGTGATGGAGAGGAAATGTTCAATTTTCTAGTGGTTTGGTCTGAATCTTAAACACTTTATTATGTCTTCTTTACCAAAAAAACTTTCTTATATTCTTCTCTATGCGTCTTTGCATATGTATGAAGAAAGAAACATAAGGAACTATCTATATTATCGTCCTTGGTTTTATGGACTTTTGTTGAATTTCTGTTTTTTTTTTTCTTTTATCTCTTTCTTTCTTTTAATGTCCATTTTACTCTTCTAATATTATATCATCAACCATTTTTATATAAAGATGATTGTTTTTGCTTTTTTACTCATGCCCACTGGTTTTTTTGATCCCAATCTAGCTCTAATTCGGTAAAATCATGGCTACAGTGTAAACCAAACTATTTTGATTCTGTCATCTTACGAATTGGTACGGGAAGCTAGAATGCGAATGAAATCCATCTTAAGAAGATAAAAAATAATCCTAAGTTTTAATAACGTAAGATGTTATATTATCGGATTATTCCAAGTACTTGTTATAAATTATAATCTAATTTTATATTCCATTGGAATTTTCGGTTTAGCAATTCTTTTTTTGGTTCGGGTGAACCCAATTCCTAGTTCATATATATATAGCCTCATCACATCTTAGGTATTTTCCTAAAGCACACGCATGATGTTTTAGGTATTTGCTTATTCTGTGAATTTTCTCCTGATCTCGTTTTGTTTGATTTTGTTTGCTTCCTTTTCTATTTGTGAATAGTTCTTTGAGGAAATCCTAAGTATGAGTGAGTTTGAATTTTGTTTGCTTCTCTTTCTATATACCTCGCTAGGGTTTTGCTTATGACTCTTTGTTTGGCTCTTGAGAATCTCATATCCATTGTTCGTCTTTTTTGATGTTTTCAGGCTTTTAGATTTCTCTGGATGCCTAAAAGCTCATAATTATGGATAGGATAAGTCAGTTGCATGATGAGCTTCTTTTGGGGATATTGTCGTCACTACCTACTGCTAAAGATGTTGCGGCCACAATGGTTTTGTCAAAACGGTGGCGATTTCTTTGGATGATGGTTCCAAGGCTTGTGTACAATGCTTGCTATCAGGATATTGATTATGGAAGATTTTCGACCTTTGTAAACAGGTTTTTGTTGCTGCACAAGGCTCCACTTATAGATACTTTGCATTTCAAAATTGGTAACGCCTGTAGTAGTGGAGATATTCCAGCGTTGATTAGAGCTGCCGATGAACGTTGTGTGCATGAGCTGATTATCGAGGTTTTTACTCCTAATAGTAATTATACTCCTGTCACACTTCCTAGGAGCTTGTTTACATGGTGCAAAATGCTTGTGACATTAACACTAAGGAACGCGGTTCTTACGGATGATGTTACTTACCCAGTGTCTTTCCCATCCCTCAAAAATTTGAGTCTTATATCCATGAAGTACCCAGGTGGTGATGAATTTTTCAACACGCTTATATCAAGTTGTCCAATTCTTGAAGACTTGGTTGTGAAACAAATCCTCAATGACAATGTGGCCATGGTGACAGTTAGAGTTCCTTCTCTAAAGCGCTTAGTCTTGAACCAAGAAGTAAAAAACGCTGTTAATGGCATAGCTAATGGGTTTGTGATAAACACTCCTTCTTTGGAGTGCATGGACATTGTTGATCTTACGACTGGGTGTCACATTGTTGAGAATGATATGCCTAACATCGTAAAGGCAAAAGTCGACATTTTTCATCCACAAACTGAGCAACTTTTGGGTTCTATCACTCTAAGCAAGTATCTTCATCTCTGCTTACCAACCTCAAAGGTATGTTGTTTTTTTATTAGCTTGCTACAATATGATTATTGGTCTCTAATCCAGTCTAAATCAAAACATTGCTTGTGTAATTATAATATCTCTTATCCAGAATGTGTCGTATCCTGCTGGTAATGTCTTCAACCGTCTCGTACATCTAAGGCTATGCACATGTGAGACTGAGTGGATTAATCTACTTATGCGTATGCTCAGAAATTCCCCTAGTTTACAAGTTCTTGAGATTGAACAGGTAATAATAATACATATTTATTTTCTACTACTATATCAGTAAGATTGATCTGTCCCGCTATACACTCCTATCACAGGCCCATTACCTTCGATCTTACCAACCACGACCGTGCTGGAGTGAACCAAGCTCGATACCTGAATGTCTTATATGCAATCTTGAAACCTTCAAATGGGAACATTATTATGGAGCAGAAGAAGAGAAAGAAGTGGCAGCATTCATCTTAAGAAGTACAATCTCTTTAAAGAAGGCAACTATCATCCCTCATAAGTCTATTTTCGAGGACAAGAAACTTGAGATGCACAAGGAATTGTCATTATTGCCAATATGTTCACCAGTTTGTCAGCTTGTATTCAGCTGAGGTTATGGTGAGTTTTAGATCAGCTTCTTATTTGTTTTTTTTCATAATTATCTCTTTGAAATTTTTAGGTTCTTGCTTTGCGTACTAAAAGAAAGAAACTTAATGAATGATCTCTATCTTTCCACAAACAGTTTGCTCTTGTGGTGATTTAAACACCTCTTGGTTAGAAGAGTGTGTTCCAATTGTCACAAAGTTAGATGAAATTTGTTTTTGTTTGATCAAAGTATTGATCGATTGAAGTTTTTTTCCTTTTTTTTTTTTTATGTTAACCTCTTCTATCTTTTTTTTTTTTATGTTTTTTATAAATCTTAATGTTGCCCTCTCTATGCTTATTCTTTCGACAAGAAAAAGTGAGAGAAAAACATAATTAGGAATCTTAGATAAGCTATTAGAACTTGTTATTTTTATCTTCTTTCAGTGTCTATATAATTATGAAAGAAACATAACTAGGAATCTCTGTCTTCCTCTAACAGAATTAAACACCCATTGATTAGGGGAGAGGGTTCCATTAATTGTCACAAATCTGGATGAAATTTGTATGATCCTTTGAAAATTTTATTTTAGGATCTTTTTACCCTTTTATTTCTCCACGGGTCTTCTACACTTCTAAATTCTTTATCTTAACTTTGCTTCTATATGCATTCTGCATATTCTTTTGACAAGAAAAAAAGGAGAAAAAATTGATGCGGAAATGAAGTAAATTTTACTGGAATTGGAAATGAAGTAAATTTCACTGGAATTGGAAATGAGGCCATCGAGTGTTTGTACAACAAAGAAGAACAAGGGTTAGTGAGAAACATGTGTACATCACGTGGAAGAGTCAGAGAAATAGAAAGATTCACATTTACTTTTTAATAATAGTTTGGCTTTTCCTTATTTAGTTTTAAGGAAATATGTTAAGAATTAAATCTATAAATAATGTAGCCCGTAGGGCAAAGAAATCATCCGATCAAATACACAAGGGTTTTAGGATCAAAACCTCGCTAGGGTTTTGCGTCGTTGCTGAAAGGTTTGGAGTTTTCAAAGAAGGTATTAGCTCTTAGTTATGGATAGGATAAGTCAGTTACCTGATGAGCTTCTCTTGAGAATATTGTCGAACCTTCCTTGTGCGAATAATGTTATGACCACAATGGTTTTGTCAAAGCGGTGGCAATTTCTTTGGATGTTGGTGCCAAAGCTCATATACGATGATACCTATAAAAACATTAAGCGTATAAGATTTATCCGATTTGTAGACAGGTCTTTGTTGCTGCACGAGGGTCCAGTTCTAGAAACTTTGCATTTTAAACTAGGTAAAAAATGTGGTGCAGAAGATATTCGAGTGTGGATTAGAGCTGCAGATAAATGTTGTGCGCGTGAGCTGATTATCGAGATTTATAATTCTTCTGGTACTCATACTCCAGTTACACTTCCTAGGAGCTTATATAAATGCTGCAGAATGCTCGTAGCTTTGAAACTAAGTAACGCGATTCTCGTGGATGTTTCTTCCCCGATTTCTTTCCCATCCCTCAAAAAGTTGAGTCTTATATCCATGAAGTATCCAGATGATAAATTTGTCAACATGCTTTTATCTGGTTGTCCTGTTCTTGAAGACTTGCAAGTGAAGCTATGTCCAGATGACAACGTGGTCATATTATGCGTTCGAGTTCCTCATCTAAAGAGTTTATTCGTGAATAAATCTATGGAAATAGATACAACCGATGACGGGTTAGTGATAGATGCTCCTTCTTTGGAGTGCATGAAGATTATTGATAATAGTGGAGGGTTTTGTGTCGTCGAGAATAATATGCCTAAGATTGTGAAGGCACATGTCGACAGTTCTGGTCAGCAGTTTTTGCTTTTGAAATCTATAACTTCAGCCAAGCGCCTTAATCTCTGTATACTAACCTCAGAGGTAATATGTTGTTGACTTGTTGTTTGTTTAGCTTGCTGCAATCTGGATTATTGGGGACTAATCCACTTTGAATAGCAACAAATCTTACGATCAAACATTGCTTGTGTACTTAATTAATTTCATCTCTTATATATGCAGAATGTGTATCCTGTTGGTAGTGTCGTCTTCCACCGTCTTGTACATCTAACGCTAGGCACATGCGATACTGGGTGGTTGGATCTACTTATGTGTGTTCTTAGAGATTCCCCTAATTTACGAGCTCTCAAACTTGAACAGGTACATATATAACTCATTCATTAATTAATTGTCTATAACGTCGGTATGCTAGCTTGAGATAATTTACTATACTTTCGTCTTGTTAATTTTTCTCAGTGTCATGCCCCTGAAGATGAAGAAGAACCACGCCCCAGCTGGAGTGAACCGTGTTCAGTTCCTGAATGTCTGTTATCGAGCCTTGAAACTCTCGAATGGACAAAATATGAAGGAACAAAAGAAGAGAAAGAAGTAGTGGCATTCATCTTAAGGAACGGAAACTTTCTAAAGAAAGTAACTATAAACCCTAACTTCATCCACATCAAGAAACTTGCGGTGATGATGAAGGAGTTATTGTTTTTGCCCAGATGTTCGTCTTCTTGTCGACTTGTGTTTGATTGAAGTTACGTACATGTCACCTCTTAGGGAGAAGGTACATGTTCAATCGTCAATTAAGTTCGTAGGAATCTTAATGTTATATCATGTTCGAAGCTCCTTACTACTAATTAACTAGCTATGTCTTTTTTTTTTTTTTCCAAACAACCCTATATTTTTCTCTCTCGTTTTGTGTGTTACTACTTACTATAATGGAAGAAGCTAATATAATGTTATGGTCTTTTATTAAATTTATATAGAAGTTCAACAGTAATGAGATATGGGTAAAATATTAAGGAGCAACAGTAGAGAAAGAAACTTGAGATCCTTAAGAATTTGTCATTAACAATTTGTCACCAAGGCATTATTAAATCAACGTACATGTCAGTTTCCATTTATTAAAATTAGACAATTTTTCAAGTAACATCTTGTTTTTGTTGGTGTTTGATTTGAAATCTTAGATAAGCTATTAGGACGTTATTATTTTTATATCTCTTCCAAATTTAGCATCTCTGATTTTCTTATGGTTTGTTCTAGTCCCCGCATAGGAAAAGAAAGAAAGTATACGGAAGAAAAAGTATTAATTAGTTTCCTTGGTGTATCTTCATTCTACCGCATATATTAATTATTTATGGATCTTTACTTCATTTTGCAACGTTTTCTCTTTTCTGTTTGGTAAGATTTTCCGGTTAAACTGCTTTTGGTTGTCTATTCTTGAGAAGGATGATACTTTTACATTATGAATAAAATTCAGACGATATTTAAAGGTAGATTTTCCACAAGTTACTTAAATTAAAAAAAATCACATCATATGCATTTATGTTTGTTTATGTATACAACTCTACTTTCGTCACATCTAGACCACGTTGTTAGATTAGGAGCCCAAATATTGAAGTAAGATATATTACTTATTTACCAAAAAAATAAAAACATTGAATCTTCTTTCATCGATCTCTCCTCAAGACATAGCATAAGAAAATGAAGATATCATCACTAGGATGGGTCTTTGTCCTTATCTTCATCTCTATTACCATTGTTTCGAGTGCACAAGCACCTCCACCTCCTAAACCTAAGCCTGCACCAGCCCCAACACCAGCACCTAAACCTAAGCCTGCACCAGCACCAACACCAGCACCTAAACCTAAACCTGCACCTACACCTGCACCTAAACCTGCACCAGCACCAACACCAGCACCTAAACCTAAACCTGCACCTAAACCTGCACCAGGTGGAGAAGTTGGTAAGCAAGCTATATTATTTTCTTTAGTTATCGTTAAGCGTTTCTGATGAATAGTTGGAATATTTAGTGTTAAGACTAAAAATCCAATGAGATATGTTCTCCTTAAACGATAAACTTAATATAGGGTCACAGAAACATGTTTGTTTGTTTTATTCGTATAGAGGATGAAACCGAGTTTAGCTACGAGATGAAAGGAAACAAGGGGCCAGCGAAATGGGGAACACTACATGCAGAGTGGAAAATGTGTGGAACAGGCAAAATGCAATCTCCGATTGATCTTAGGGACAAAAATGTCGTAGTTAGTAATAAATTTGGATCTCTTCGTAGCCAGTATCTGCCTTCTAATACAACTATTAAGAACAGAGGTCATGATATCATGGTAAATAAACTTCCACCTTTTCCAATATATTTCATTGTCCTTTAAATATATCATGGACCAAAATTCATACTGATTCTCGAAGTTTGTAGAAATTTGGAATAATATTTTCATTTAAGACATGTACAATTAATGGCAAAAAGAAAAAAAAAAAATTGGAACACTGGAGGTTCGCAGTTGGGATTCAGTCCATTGTCTCGATCCACATAAATATCATTCAAACCTGCACTATTGGATCACCACTCCTTGGTTAAAATATTTTGGTCTTGGGTCATAAAATTGTTTTGTTTTTTTTTTTTTGTTTTTGGTTAATGTGGCAAGTTGAAATTTAAAGGAGGGAATAAAGGTATTGGTGTCACCATCCGTGGTATCAAATATCAACTTCAACAACTTCATTGGCACTCTCCTTCCGAACATACAATCAATGGCAAAAGGTATCTCTGCTCGCACATTTAATATTCTACCATATCTTTAATTCTAACGTAAATATTATTATTTCCCTTTTAAAATTAATATATTTTTGTATATAAGAGCCTAACAATAACTAATACTAGTTTGTGTGTGATCAAAATGGCTTAATTGGTGAGGAAACTATTTTAGTTATACTTATCTTGTAAGATTTGATGATAGCATAAATTTTTTTGAATAAAACACATAAATAGGTTTGCGCTTGAGGAACATTTGGTTCACGAGAGCAAAGATAAACGCTACGCTGTTGTCGCTTTCTTATACAAACTCGGAGCATCTAACCCTTTTCTCCTTTCGGTATTGCAATCTCAACCTTCCTAGTAATAGTTCAATCAAATCATTGATTATTAATTGAACAAAAATAGTAACTCAGAACTTTTTTTATTGATTAGTTGGAAAAACAATTGAAGAAGATAACTGATACACATGCTTCTGAGGAACATGTCGGAATCATTGATCCCCAAAAACTCAGTTTTGAATCAATACATTATTATAGATATTCCGGATCACTTACAGCTCCTCCATGTTCTGAAAATGTTATTTGGTCCATTTCCAAAGAGGTAATTACTAATTATTTTCAATCCTTTCCATTTTGTTTTTTATATATACAGTAGTTATATAGTTTTTCATTCTAATCTATGATTATATTATTTTATCTTAATTACCTAGCTAATAGCAATGTCTTATGTTTAATAAACTTTCAGATTCGCACTGTGTCAAGTAAACAAGTGAAGCTTCTCCGTGTGGCTGTACACGATGTAAGTGTTTTTTTTTCCTGATTTATTATACAGCGTATAACATCATTAACATAACTTAAAACTATCATATTTATAATACTTATATGCATATTTCTCAAGATATGAGTCTGTACTCTGTAGTGCCTAAATGTGATTTTTTATGGTCTATAGAATATTCAAGATAAGAACATCATGTTTTATCATCCAATTGATTACATGCTTTTCAATTTATAAAAATGTTTTACAGGCTTCAGATTCAAATGCGAGGCCGCTTCAAGCAATCAATAAGCGCATGGTGTATTTATACAAACCAAAAGTTAAGTTAATGAAGAAATATCGTAATACAAGTTTTTACTAATAATATTCAATTCTTTATAAAAGTTTTTTTTTTTCACCAAAAAAAAAATGAATTGTACACTAAAATGATGTTTTTAGGAAACTGATGACTTCGTTTTGTTTTTTAAAAATAGTTTCCCACTCGTGTTATAAAATGGTTTTTATGTTACTTATATAAATAAACCCTCTTTACCTTAAAGAAGGGTATGAAACAACACACCATCAATTTCAATTCTCTTTGTAAGTGCTAACTATTAATGTTATGTTAGGGATCACATTAGTTTCAGTTCTCTCAGATTCAGTTTGTAGTATGACATTAGTTAATGAGCGCATGAAAAAAACTGAGAATTGATCACACAGAAGTTTCTAGCTCAGACATCTTCATTAGCTTTTAGTTCAGAGCAATCCTCTTGTCTAAATACAATGGAAGAGAATATAATGGAACGTTTTTAAGTTGGTATGGTGAATATACCTCCTCACTCTGAAACCGGCCTAGTGTGTGGCAAAACAGAATTCTTATAGGGCCTTTGATAGGAAACAGATTCAGACAAGAAACATTTAACTATAAGCTATTAAGCATTAGTGGTAGTTTCACAAAGTTCTTTTGTTATTCTTTTTGTTCATATTTAGCTCTTTGAATCTCTTATGTTCTCACTCTGTTCTTTGCGCTTTAGAAGAATGATCCTAAAACAGTAAAACTACTCTGTTTTAGTTTAGCTACAAGCTATCATTAATCAATTTATGGTCATTGCTTAGTCTGATAGGAAGATGATATTTTTTATGCACGTAGGTAGTAGAATCAATTAAGAAAGTTTAGTCTCTTTTAGGATGCCTAATATTGTTGAGGCAGGTGTTATGGTTACTGATAATCATCAGGAACAAAAGAAGAGAAACAAGTAACGGCATTCATCTTAAGAAACGCAAATGTTTGAAGAAGGCAACTTTCTCCCCTCTAAATCCATCGATCACGACAAGAAATCTAAAATGCTTAAAGAGTTGTCATCATCGCCTATGTGTTCACGTAATTGTCAGCTTCTATTTGATTGAAGCTATGGTCAATATGTCAAGTAACAAACATCTTTGTTTGGTTGGTAACTTGATCTTGAAATCTTAGATAAGCTATTGAGAGACGTTATTATGTTGAAAACTATTCAAGTCCTAATATTATCGTATCGATCTGAATCTTTTATTAGTTTGTGAATACAACAAATAGTGTGTGATGAACACTTTACTGAAGAATGTTACTCAATTCTAAAAAAAAAAGTTCACGCGTCTATAAAAGTTTTCATTAATCTAAAATGTCTACATCAAACGTATATTTACATACAATTTACATAGGAGAAGATACCTTATTATTCTCATTGCAACTAGAATATACAAGTAGTCAATATAATATAAGTATATAACAAAACAAATAGTATTGGAAACGCAATTAAACGAAGACCACAGGCGTTGAATCAGCTAGTGATAGATTAGTAATAAATAAACCTCAAAATTAGTGAAGGAAGCAAAAGACTATAATTAACAAAAAGTCTTAAACTTGATTAATAATTTTTAATCAAAGATGATAAATGCTAATTAAGACAAGGACATAAAGTAAAGAGAAAACAAGGAACGAGTTGGGGTTAGAAGAGGACGTGGTTGGGTTGTTTTGTTTTGTTTCCTTCCACTCTTTCTTCTTCATTTCCTCTTTCTTTCTTTCTTTTCTTCTCCATTTTTTCTCAAATCCTTGGACGAAAAATTGAGCCTTTTTCTGGGTTTTATTTTCTATAAAGGAATCGAAACAAGGAAGAACAGATTTGTAAAAAAATATCTTGGGTTTTCAAGAAAAAGTAGAGACATTTTAAAGGTATGGGCATGTAAATTTCTGGGTTTTTATTTCTTTCATAGATTGTGTTTCTTTGTTTCATTTTTTTTGTTTGAGAAAATATATGACAAAGGAAGAAAATAAAAAGCTAGAAATTTGATTCCTTTTTTTTAAGGGTTTTGTTTACCTCTTTGATCTTTTACAAGATTCTGGGTTCTTCAGATTTTTTCTTCTTTATTTTTGGGTTTAATTCTTTGTGGGTTTTATCCAAATTCGTGTAAAAATCAAAGGTTTGTCTGAATTTGATTGGTCAAAGTCATTAAATTTTGATATTAATGACAAAATCTGTATAAAGTTATATACTTTTAAGGGTCTTAGATCTGAATTTAGAACCTGTAGTGGAAGATGATTGACAAATTAACATATTTCTAGGGTTTCATTGTGTGTTCTTCTTGTTTGCAGAATCAAGAGATTTGGGGTTGAAGGAGGATAGATATGGAGGAAACAATGGCAGCTAGGTATTGGTGTCACATGTGTTCACAAATGGTGAATCCAATAATGGAATCTGAGATCAAATGTCCCTTTTGTCAAAGCGGATTCATCGAAGAAATGAGTGGTAATAGCGGTGGAGGTGGAGGTAGAGGCATAAGAGATGTTCAAGATTCAGAAACCGATTTTGGAACAGACCGTGCATTGTCTCTATGGGCACCAATCTTGCTTGGAATGATGAGTAGTCCTCGGAGACGAAGAAGGTTTAGAAGATCAGATTTTGGTGAAGAGAATGATGATAATGGTGATGAATTGAGTAATGTTGATGGGAATGATAGTAATAATATTAATATGTATCATCATCATCGAGCTAGGCGGCATGGTGGAGAGATTGATTTGGATAGAGAGTTTGAATCTATCTTGAGGCGAAGACGAAGAAGCTCGGGGAATATATTGCAGTTGCTTCAAGGTATTCGTGCAGGGATTGCTTCTGAGTATGAAAGTTCTGATAACAATTGGGATAATTCTCGAGAGAGGGATAGTAATAACAATAGAGTTATAATGATCAATCCGTATAACCAATCGCTCGTTGTTCAGGGGTCTTCGGATCAAAATCCGAATCATCCTTCATTGACTTCACTTGGAGATTACTTCATTGGACCTGGTTTAGATCTTTTGCTTCAGCATTTGGCTGAGAATGATCCTAATAGGCAAGGGACTCCTCCTGCTCGTAAAGAAGCGGTTGAAGCTTTACCAACTGTTAAGATAATGGAGCCTTTGCAATGTTCGGTTTGTTTGGATGATTTTGAGAAAGGAACGGAAGCTAAAGAGATGCCGTGTAAACATAAGTTTCATATCCGCTGTATTGTCCCGTGGCTTGAGCTTCATAGTTCTTGTCCTGTGTGTCGATTCGAGCTTCCTTCTAGTGCTGATGATGATGATGAGACAAAGATTGATTCCGAGAGACTGCCGAGAACAAGAAATGTTCCGGAAACCAATAACAGAAACATTGTTGAGAATGTGGGAAATGTGGAGAGAGGAAGACAGGATGAGGCGAGGAGCGGTAATGGAAGACGGTTTTCGTTTCCATGGCCATTCAGTGGATTATTCTCGTCTTCGTCTTCGTCTTCTTCATCCTCTGGATCTCAGTCTGGTGAGAACAATTTCTACTCAAGATCTTCCGGTTCTTCTCGCTGATTGAAGAATATCAGAGAACAAAAACATCCAAAAACTAAAAATCTTTTGTTGTTCTCTCAGTTTTCTCATTTCCTAGCTCTTGAATTTGTTATTTCCTATGCATTTCATTCTCTGCTTTTATGTACATACAAATGATGTTCTTTCACTCAGACTGTTGAAAAACAAATATCCATTGTTGCTGTACAGAGATGATCAAATTCAGTTTCCATTGTTTTAGTTTTCAAAATATGAAAATATCTGTCAATTGAGTCCAAATAATGATGAAATTATACAATGATTCAATCTTTTTTCGGATTATTTTTGTACAGAGATGATCAAATTATGAGTGTTTCCATTATCTTTGTTTTTAAAATTGAGTGTTTTGAATATGAAAGTTATATTTTTCAGTTGAAGCCCAAATAATGATGAAAATTTTACAAAAGTGGAGATAATGATAAGTCTTTGTCGGAATGATTTTTGTATGGGGAAATTCATGCGCTGTCTTCTTTTTGTCTTCATGTCCTGTCATTTTAAGAGCAAGAACATCTATATATTGGTGTATACATAAGAAATACTTAGAAACAAAAAGAAATCATGATAATTGATACGTGTATGTATGATCCAATAGTTTCCATACAACCAAAATATCCCAAAAGGAGCTGTTAAGTGGATTCACCGGTCACAATAGTTGTGGTAATAAGCAAAAAATAGAACTTGAGTTTTCTATCTCAAGATTTTAATCACAATCTTGAATAGTTTCATAATAAAACGTTTAAAGTAGCGTTCCCCAAACGCTAAAAACGTGATTTTTGATTGGAATCATCACTTGACGGTCAAGATCTTGATCACGGAAGCATTACCGACTCGGAGTAGAGCAACAACGGAGTCTCCAGTCTTGCACAGCTCTTTCTCTTTCCCGTACTGAGTAGCAAACTCAATAGCTTCTTCTGTTGATTCATCATGTGAGGCTCTTGCGGATCCAGCGTAGAGCACCGGGATTAGACCACGGAAGATAAGGCTGTGTCTCGCGGGGGACTCGTCGCTGCAAGACCAGTCGAAGAAGTCGGTTTTGATCTCAGGAACAACGACGGATAGAATAGGCATTCCTGGTCTGTACTTGGCCACAAGTCTCGCTGTGCTTCCTCCTCTGGTTAGGACCATGATGAGAGTGGCTCTAGCTGAGTTAGCGGTTCTTACTGCTGAGGATGCGAGTGACTCTAGTGGGCTCATTGGAACTGGAGAGTAAAGCATGATCCTCTTGAAGACATCTCCGTAGTCGAGGGTGCTCTCGGCTTCCACACAGATCTTAGCCATTGTACGGACAGCTAGTTCAGGGTATGCTCCAGCTGCAGTTTCACCACTGAGCATGACACAGTCTGTACCGTCGAGGACCGCGTTTGCAACATCTGTGGCTTCAGCTCTTGTGGGTCGAGGAGACTTGATCATGGACTCGAGCATCTGAGTCGCTGTGACCACAGGTTTTCCCTGGATGTTGCATTTGTAGATCATCACCTTCTGAGCTAAGAAGATCTTTTCAATTGGGATTTCCATGCCCAGATCTCCTCTGGCAATCATGAAAGCGTCCGAATTGACCAAGATGTCATCGAAATTTGCCACACCTTCTTGGTTCTCGACCTAATCAATCAAAAAGAAGATCGCACAAAACCGTCACAACCTAAAAGATTTGATCCTTTAGTTTCCAGAACTAGAAAGAGAGTTTTGATTTAGCATACCTTAGACATGAGAAGAATGTTTTTGGCGTGCTTTCCTAGAAGTTTCCGGACCTGGACCAAGTCTGAACCTTTTCTGACAAAAGACAGAGCAATCATGTCGATTTGATTCGGGACTCCCCATTGCATGATGTCTTCTTTGTCTTTCTCAGTCAGAGTTGGAAGATCCACAACGACACCTGGAAGATTAACATTCTTTCTCTCTCCGAGCATCGCAGAGTTCTCACACCGGCAACGGACAGTACCCTTCTCTTTGTCACAAGAGAGGACAAGTAACGAGATGGTACCATCGGCACAGAGTATGACCATTCCTGGGTTCACATCTACAGCCAACTTTTTGTAGCTCATGCAGATCGTGGTCTCATCACCCTTCAAGTCATAGTCAGTCGAAATGGTGATCTCTTGGCCCTGTTTCAGCTGGATTGGTTTCCCATCTTTCAAGAACCCAGTTCGGATTTCTGGACCCTTTATAAGAGAAAAAAACAACACTCCATTAGCAAAATCGAAAAAAACAAATAGATATGCCACAATTTACATTCACAAGACATAAGTTGACAAGAGTGATCTTTAATCAAAAAGCCAATCAAGTTAAGAGTATCAACTGAAATGTGGCTATAAGTTTACTTCACACACTAATGACATTCTCTACATAATTATAGACAAGAGAGAACAATTAAAGAACATTGTCCATCGATTCAACACTATTTTCTTCGAACTTGACAATTGTAAGTATTTTTCCTTGAATTGTGGACATGGCTGCCTCAATCTAAAAATAAATGAAGCAAGTGTGACATTCACATTTACAAGAAGCAGGTTGAGCGAAGGAATCCAATTTAAACACCAATCTAAATCGAATTTTGGCTATTAACTTATAATTAACTTCTCTGGCCATCAAAATCATAATCACAGAAAAGAGACAACAATTCAAGAACATCAGCTATCACCACTTTCCACAATAAGTTTCTTAATCATTTGTCAAATTTGTATTAACATATTCTTCACAAGTTTCTAAGTGCTAACAATCATCTCAACTAATTTGGTCTAATAACTCGAGTTTTAACTGGAGAAAATTACGATACCACAAGAATCAGAGTCTTCCAGATCTAGATTCATATTTCATAATAAATTTAGTAATTCCCAGAAGTTAAAAAATCATGAGAGTGAGGTTGGTCAGCGTTATTCATAAGCAGAGTTAACATTAATATAGTCTAACACAAAAATGGCAAAAACAGAAACCATTTACCAAAGATAGATGAAAATATCAAAATACAAAAGAGGCATGAAAAAACATTTCATACATAGGAAATAAAAATAGACGCGTCAATGTTACAGATCAAAAAATAGAATAAACCAATAAAAAAAAATCTAGAAACCCTAGAATTTCAGATCACAGTCGAATCCGAGTCAAAGAAGATGAAATTGGAAACAAAAACTATAAACATGGAAGTATATAATCGAACCTTGGTATCGAGCATGACGGCACAGAGAATCCCAGTATTAAGCATAGCTTGATGGAGATTATCAAGAGTCTCTTGATGGTATTCATGAGATCCATGAGAGAAATTAAACCGAGCAACGTTCATACCAGCCCTTAGAAGCTTCTCGACCATTGGAACAGATCTGGAAGCTGGACCTAGAGTACAAACGATCTTCGTCTTCGGCCTTTGCTCTATCATCGTCGCCATCGCTAGTGAAAAGAAAAAAACAGACACAGAATCGAGGATCGTGGATGATTTTGTGGAAAGAGAGAGATGAAGAGAGATTTATGGAGAGAGATCTGGCTTGGAGAACAAGGAAAACACAGAGAGAAAGAGAGAATCTGAGAAAGAGAGATTTATGAAGAGTGAAGAGTCTTCTTCTAGATTTTTTTGACTTTTTGAGGTAAAAAGTGAGAAATGAGAAATTGAAGGTCATTGGTTTAGATTTGGTCAACAAAAGATCGATATGTTAATTGATTGGTTCACACCGGTTTAATTTTCTTTCAATAAAGGAGTGACGCACATTGTTAATTTATATTCGTTTTCGTTTACTTTTTTATGTCTTCTCGAACTATTGTCGGGCCATGGTTTTTTTCCAAATATAAATATCTTCGTAATGATATTTTAAGTGTTTATTTTAGAACGTTGATTAACATTTGTTTTTTTTTTTTAACACTTGATTAACATTTACACGTGTAATTTTCAGTTAATTCTTTTATCAGGATATTAGTGAATATATGAAAAAGGGGGAAAGTAATTGTATTTTGTCATTTTGGCAATATTTTTTAAATAATTTCTAAATTTGATCTAGTGTTAATTGTTACTGCAATAATTTCTTTCCGAAAATATTATTTTTGAGTTTGTCTCTATTGGTAATGGAATCTGTAAAATTAAGCATTAAAACCAAACAAAACCAAACCTACCACTTGTTTAGGACATTAAAAACCACTTTCTGACCTAAAAAGTGAACTTAGAGATGTTTGATAACGTATGTACTTAGTATCGACGAGCTCCACTAAGCTCGAATAAATTTAAAATACTCCAAAAAAGTTAAAAGATTTAGCTCTTCTTCATGTTTATATATAGAAGATCGTTTTTTGTGCTTAAACAAAGTTTGAACATTGTCTAAATACTTTTGATATATAGAATCTTCCATTGAACCCAAATGAGGTAAACTTGACCCTATCATTCTTTCTCTTCCGACCCAAAACTTCTCTCTGTTTTTTTTAAGTCCTCTCTTGACGTTTGAGACTGAGCAAGATTACTAGTCTAACTGACATAAATCTAAGCGCAGTGCGCATCTCGGTAAGAATTATTTCAGATGAAAATGATCAGAGTTCGTCGTGATTCTGGGGTTTGTCTTGGTTCATCAACTTCTCGAGCTTCTGTTGTAGTTCCTATAAAACGACGAAACACCAGGTTTAGGAAGTGTTAAGTTAACTAGTGTAGGTCTGCTTTGAGATTTGAGATCAACAAAAAAACTTACTTTAAGTTTGTCTTCCAAACACCGAGCTGGAGTAGATAAGATCGCCGCATATCTGCAACAAGAGAGTAAGAATTAAAGGATAACAAAAGAAAAACTGGAGATAAAAGGGGATGATGAACCGTGAGATGTAACCAAAACAAGAACTTACTCGCAACGGCTTGGTTCATCGACATCCATAAGCTCATTTTTCAACCCACATCTTAGTTTCACCTGCATTTAGTGAACTAGTCAATCTTTTGTAATACTTAATGTCTGTGATCTTTGCAAGAGCAAGTCTCAGATTATGTTCTTTGGATAGTTGGACCGAATTGTGATTGGACAATATTTTTTGGACTTTTAACAATATCAAACACTTACCTTAAGGCTTCTATCGGGACCGTTCCAGCATTTATCTCCGTTGGTATATGACATGAATTGGTAAGAGTTCTCAAATTTGTCCCATTCCCTATTTTAACAAATCCCATAAAACAATATGATGAAGCATAGAAGGATATATATAAACACAGA